GAAATGGAAACTTTTGAGCGTTCACAACGCTCTTTATATATATGGCATTCGACCTTTTGAGCTGATAGACAGTAGTCCGACCTTTGCTCGCCCGTTGTAACCACCGTACTACTTCGTGGGATGCACGGCTTTGGAGGGAGGAAATCTAGTTATGTCGCGATAAAACGACATTTATTATACAGCGAACCGTGAAAAAGAGACATCCTTCAAGCATAAGCCAACATTGCTCTTTAAGTTGTTGTGCAATGTTCCACGTATTTTCTAGGACAGAGCTATGATATGCTAAAAAACCGCCAGTATAGTTCAGGTTATCCGAAAGTTGGTTATCCTACGACGATAAAAAAAAATTTGCGTAAAGTATGATTATTTTAAGAAGAGGCTGTACCTTCATATTAATTCTTAACTAAATGGTTAGGGCTACAACCGTCTACAACAACTAGGGTGTGTAGGCGACCCAATTTTCCTTTTTCTTGCAATATAACTAAGCTGGGTACAAGACATTGTCCTAAAACTCAGATAGGTAAAGCATTGTGCAAAAATATCAATTGAGGGCGGAATCAAACTGATGCTATCAGAGCATTAAAAATAACACGAAATAATGACTAACAAGGAGTACTTACGTTATTTTCTTGCTTTTTGCAAATCTAGTGGGATCATTCTGGCAATGACAATTTTTAAACCTTTTGATCATGCTTTAATCCCTTTTTTAATTTTTAAAACCCTAGATAGGAAACATTTACACTCGGTTTTATTTCGGGTTTATCAAAGTTACCACATCCCTGTAAAAATGGAAGAGCGGCTTCCCCTTTTCTATCAGTATGGATAAAGTGCGCCGGAAATGGTTCATATATTGAAAGAAAAGGTGCTTTACGCAGATCATTTCCAACATATTTACAACTAACTTCGTTATTTACAAACAGTATAACATGGTAAATACTACACCTCACCATTACATAAACACATTTTTAAATTCACCTTCAACAACGTAAAAATTCAAACCTTCAATTAGTAATTAATAAACTTGCCTTCAAACACATCACCATAAATTGAATGTCCATCGTCGCCGCACCCATAAAGAATATCTACCGATCAAATAAGCAAATGTATGACTACCTCCTCCTTGAATCCAGCCATCTGGTACTAACCTGTGAAAGATACTATCCTTGTAGGCCATCGTGTAAACTTCAATTTCATTTTTCGGAACTGGGCTTAAGTCGCTTCTGCATAAGGAAGCAAAGTTTTGGCATGTTTTTGGTAAAAGATCTGAAAAGAGCTAGAAGGATAAATGACTAAGAGCACTGTTTACTTCAAAAAGCAATGTTCCACATGATTTTCCGCCGATTGTTATAACCACGGAAACGTATATTCTCTAGACTAACTTATTAGACTTTCATTATAACTTACATCACGTCTGACAAGTTCATCACGGTATGCATCATGGGCCAACATTTCATAAAAAGTATAAGGCCGATATTCATCCAGTCCATAGTTGGTCAATGCCCAGTCTCTGAGTGCATCACAGTTTCCAATGGGCTTTTTGTCACAGAAACAGATAACAACTCCATCAAAA